CCCCAAAACCCCAAAACCCCAAAACCCCAAAACCCCTCTTTAAGACCCTAGTTTTGAAAATATTAAAATTTAATGGAATTCAGGACAAATCTCTCAGAGCTGCTCAAATCAAAAGCAGTAAAGAGATTTCCGAAAGAGAATGATGCTGATGATGAATGCTTTATTGTTAAAATTATTCCGACGAATGTGATTGGATACGGTATTATGGATGATCTGAATTCAGTTATTGACAAAATGGGTGATGCTAGCTCGTTTGCCCAAGGTATTCATATCCCAATAACAAGTTCTACAAAGTTTAAATCAAGTGATCATGAACTTTACATCAAAGTCCAGGGAAAGAAATGCTATGGGTTCATTAAAACTGGATATAAAAATTTATTTGTTCGAGAATATTCTACATCAGCCATGATAAACATCAAGCCTCTCTGCATTCTCGACTTTTATGTGAATGAAAAGTGCCAAAGAGCTGGGCACGGAAAGGACTTGTTTGATAGCGTACTAGAAACTGAAAAAATTGAACCGAAAATGCTTGCTTATGATCGTCCATCTTTTAAATATTTAGCTTTTCTAAAGAAATATTATGGACTTCATGATTATTATCCTCAAAGTAACAGCTTCGTAGTCTTTAAGGAGTACTTTGAAGCTCTAGCTGAGCAAGCTGAGGCTGAGAGACAAAAGAAAGAGGCTGAATATTCTCAAAGACAGCAGTACTTCAACCCCTATGATACCAAAGGTTATGCAGCTATTGGAAGAAAACAAGCAGGGGTCTTTACAGCAATAGGTTCTGAAATCATGAAAAGATCTGACTCCGTAAACAACCAAAGAAGCTATACCTCTCCTTATGGGCATTTCCAAGGTAATTTAACGTTTTTCTCAATATTTCTATTAGCTATTTTCCTAATCTGAAAGAAAGGCACTTTAAAATTTTGTATAGAAGAAAAGAAGAGAAGCCCAAATTTTTCATATAACAACTTTAATAGAGCCCATTCGTTGATGAAAAGTCAAAATAATAATTTTGGAAGAAAAGGAACAATGAAGCTCGAAGAAGCCAAAGCCCCTCTTCCAGGAAGAGATGAAAGACTAAGTAGAAGAATTGATGTTGCGAAAAAGCAAAAAGATGTTCCTTACTCAATGGTGAATATGATGAGAGGTACAGGAGTTTTTCCACATACTCATATTCAAATTACGAATTTTAATTTAACGAATCGGAGTGATAAACTGAATAACCCTAATGCAGAGATTCCAAATCACTCAGGTATGTACACTACTACTGCCAGCAGAGTGAACTCAAGGGTAAATTTGAGTAACAAAAGCCACTGCCCTGCTCCAATTCCTTTTAGTAAAGGAACGGTTCCTTTCATGTGGGAATAACTGAATGTTTTCATAAATTATTTCAATTTTAAATAAATTAAAAGGGGTTTTGGGGTTTTGGGGTTTTGGGGTTTTGGGG